CCCCATCCTTACTGTTCTTTCGTAGACCCCGCTCTGCCATCAACTTTTCACAGCCAGTATGCTTCTTTGTATTACTTCGCTTGGATGGACGTTGTTGAGGAATATCCTAGTCAATTTGTCCAATTCTTCATCCCAGAATTCCACGTCCGTTAAACGTAGGCTTCGGATGACCATGCACCTCAATATTCATATATTGATCCTATAATTGTGATGGGACTGGAAATTGAGTATTATCCCGGCATAAGATTTCTTTCTGAACAAATTCTTCTTGAGCGCCCCCATTAGAACGAATCACTCCAACATGCAGGAGGGAAAGGAAGGTGAGCAGTTACGTCCCTTAGATGTTGAAATGATTAGCTCTAATGGGACATTCAAGTAGAAATTATTCAGAAAAAAGTCTTATGCCGGGATAATAATCAATTATCACTCCCATCAAAATTGCAAGCAAAAGATAGGAATAATGAAAAGAATTAGCATCAGAAGCTTACATTTAACGAATGTGGAATTCTGGGATGAAGAATTTGACGAATCGACTAGGATATCCCTCAGCAACGGCTACTTGAGCGAAGTAATACAAAGAAGAATTAGGGCCGTGAAAAGTAGACAGCAGAGCGACGACTACGAAGGAACAGTTACAACGGCGAAGGATTCACAAAAGTGGATAATCCAACCTTCTTGCGAACCAACTCAAAATCTACGGCCAATCTAAGAAAGTAAATATTCGGGTGACCATTAAGGAAAAAACAAACTTCACAAGTCTACCGACACAACATGAAAGGATGGACAAATAGGATTGTTCAGGAATTTACTGCATAGCATGTTGCACCTTCGAACAAAAATATATTGGCGAAACTAGGATAAAAATTAGCATATGAATCAAGGATATGCATGAAAATCGTCACTGAGTAATAGGAATTAGCAGAAAATAATCGCACAAACTGGACAACAGAAAGAAGGGTCTCATAGGATAACAACACAAGGAAGCGGAAGATTGGGGAGGCCATTGACATACCTGGGGAAAAAATCCAATGACGAGAAATTGGAAGGCAGGGTCAGCGCTAACTTTACCTACTGCTTAAGCAAACTCTGTAGAACAAGAACACAGCAAGACCAGCAAAAAAGAGACGCCTGGATCAAAGATCTATCGCTGACCGGAGGAAAAGGGATCGCGATGGGAAAAGGAGGTGGATTTCGGAAATCAAGCGGAGACATTGGCAGAGTGAAGCCTATTCGAAGAAACCAGTACAACTTTGGGAGTCTGGCAGTCAGGGTACTAGACAGATGAATAAGCGCAACCGTCACAAAAATTCGGCCAAATGTTCTAGAAAGCCACTTGAGATGTCAAAGGCAACCAGAGTTAGGCGTCCACTGTTTGCTCATGTAACATAAGAGAAATCAAAGAGACAACCTGTGAAGGCAATGATTAATATATGCAAGCATGGGTATGAGA